AGTCGATTTCGTGATTTCAATTAAATAGGCACGTTTTGGGGTCTCATGATACCGAAAAAGGTTTGTTTTTTTCAAAACGTCCGTCTGTTCGAGTTAGCCCGTTGGCCCTTCGGTCCGTCAGTCTGTCGGTCCGTCGGCACTCTGATGACTGTCCGTCTGTGAATAACACTATCGTCTAATCTATTCATTCAAGAGTGATATCGTCCCGCAAAATCGTGATTTCAGTAGGAGCAGAGAAAGGCGCGCGATAGTTTCGGGATATGTAAATTGCGGAACAGAATATAAATGAGGATTTAACTCGAATGTAAATCGGGGACAGACCCAGAGAAGGTCATATGTAACTTGGGGGCCAATTTTACCCCATCCCCTTCCAAGGTAAAAGTGGTCACTTGTTTTTCGGAGAACATTTTCATAGCCATTAGTTTTAAAACACACCTCCCTTCCCAATTTCCAGACATGCATTAGACTGGCATATTTCGTTCGGAATATGGTTGGTTAAAGATGGTTTTCATTCAACTGAATTAATGGTTGATTGAATGAACTCTGCTTTTCTTTCCATTTTATATTGTTCCATTTTCTCAGCTAATGTTGTATAACACTGAACTTGAAATTTGGACACTCTCCTAGTGCTTTCTTGCTTTACATTTTGATATAGGAGCGATCTCATACCATCAAAAATCGTACAGAAGCTGCAAAATTCTGAAACTAGTTCAATACAATAACAGACGTTTACAAACAATTGCTGGGAGTGTTATTCTAAATTTTATATTTTAAGAAAGAAACATTTGTAATTATTAAAAATTTGTACTTCAGTACACCTGAAGATGCGACCAATTGGGTCGCGAATCCTCGTGGTTTATGTAAGAAAATAATAAACATATGTAACCTAAATATTAATTGATTTGATTGGCTGTAATATGAGGATACCTCTATGTAGAATAATATTATCAGAAATAATTTTTATACTAAATTTATTTATGGTAATGAAACATATTCACATGTATACAGATGTTCCACCAACCATGGGCCATTCCGTATTTTCTAAATGGATCACGACAATGAATTGCAGTTTTAGCTCAACAATGTGGAATCATGGGGCATGTATTATATGTAGAGGTATTGTGTGAAATATTTTTAGTTTTCGAGAAATGTATTTCTCTTTGATTTATTAAATGGAACTATATATTTTCTCACCATTGTATTATGGATAAATAATAATATGATAATACAGTGATGCACTGTATGTTAATATTTTGGTAGTCATTTAAATTTAAAATTAGACTTTTTGAATTACGATTTTAAATTTAATGGGAAATGGAAGAAAACGACAACGGTATAAGTTACATTTTATAAATTCTGAGAAAACCGTGTGCATAAGTAATTGTTAATCAAATATTTAAGTGTACTAATGTGTTTGTAGTTATTTTTAAAACTTTGACAAATCTTACATTAGTCTAATATTAATTACACATTAATTTTGGCAACTAAAGTTTATACTTTGTAGGTTTACTTCCAATTTACAGTGATGCAAACCCATGAGTTAACGTTTGGTTGGGGCCCACCGGCGAAAAAATAAAAGCTATCAGAATAATATGCATTAAATTAAAATGTATAATTTGCTAAAACTATATGACACTTTTGCCCACGTAATGATTTGTCGATTACCGACATATGTTTCCGATGTAAGGAATACATATGAAACAAAAAAAAATAGCTATAAATTGTTCCAAATCCATGCTCGCTTCAAAGTTGTAACAGCGCTCACTTGGTGCTTCGAGCAATTGACTTCCAATCTAGTACAGGGTGGATGTAAAGTCAACATCTGTAACAATGAATAGTTCGACAAGTAATCAACAAAGCAATTTTTTATTACCACTGAATACATTGTTAGGGTGTAATATTTCGTTACTATGCTACAATTAACGCTAGAAATAATGCTATCAGTAGCCAAACGTAACAGTGTAGAATATAGTATGGGATGCCGACCGCCAGGTTAATCGGTCCATACGTGCTACGTCACACGATGAATGGTGAACTTAGAGATGTTTCGATCGTACGTATGACCTGTGATTCAAGAATGGGAAAATGGACGGGAAATGCTTCTCGTGCAAGATGGAGTTCTGCCCTCCTTCGCAATTCCAGTGAGAGCATGGCTTGATGTCTATGTCCCCGGCAGATGGATTGGCCGCCGGGACAGACAGAATGGCCTGCACGCAGCCCTGATCCAATCCCCTGCGACTTCTCTCTTTGGGGATGGGCTACGTCTACAAGATATAAACCAGGGATCTTTACAATTTTGAACAATATCCGCGGTGTTTTCAAATGTCCCAGTTCGGACGCTATGGATAGCCGTGAAGACTGTTCGTAAAAGATTCAGGTGATGTGTGAAAAATGCGGGGGCATACGTCAAAACGTTATACAGTAACGAAATGGTCTAACAATCTATTGAATGGTAACAAAACTTTGCTTTGTTGTTTACTTTTTGAACTATTCATGGTTAGATATTATATTGACTTTACAACCACACTGTAGTTCACGCTTGTTTTGGTCCATATCGCTTGTTGTTCCGTCGTTGTTTGGTAATTGAATCATTCTATCCAAGCATACAAGGACGTCGCTCTATGACCATGCTTATTTTCTCATTTCCTGTTGCGTTGAATATCCTAACCAAATTATCAATTATAAAGAAATTTACTGGCATTACAGAATTTTAATATAGTTTTTGAGTGTGTATTAATTAAAATAATCTCAGGGTGTTTCAAAATAGCATAGATTTCTCGTTTAATGTTATAGTTGATTACACTGCGTTGCCACAACGTATCAAAATCTGGTGTGTTAATACTATTGTTATTACTAACATATAACACTTTATCGATCAAGAACAGAAAATATTACTATCGGGAACTCAAAAAACATAAACGCCCCTTTCTTTGACCCTCCTGACTTTCAATATTTGCAAGATATAAATTCTCAATACTCATTTCTAATACTTTACGATAGTTTAACGTATGCAATTCTAATTTACTTCGGATTTGCCATCATCTTAACTTGTCAGTGGTGAACATTCGTTACGCCAATTACATTATTTCTATTTGCATATCAATGTCCTTAACACTAAACTAAACCATATTTCTTCTATTACCTCTATAATTACCTTTGGCAATTATATTTTCCATTGTATTACAATAACTCAACTATTAAATTATATACGATTGGAAAATTCCATACAAAATCATTTAATCAATTAAAAGCAGTAATAATAATGTAATTTCTATAGAATTTCCAAATGGTACTGAAATTCTTCATCTGCATGCACTAAAAATGTATATCAAATAAAAATGCTTGGCACTCCAAGGTAATAATTAAAAACTATTAATGATCATTAATATTAGCTAATATGGAAAGATTCCTGATACTCAAGAATAAGTGTTATTTTGTATTCCTTTGAATAACAGAACAAAATTAACATCCGCACCGGGAAAGAGTCAATTTTTACTAGAAACAAAGTATTCAGTTATTAAGAAGTTATGAGATTGAGAAGAGGAGAAGAGAGATATTAGAAGCAGAATTCATTAACTTATTCTTTATCCTCATAAATTCTAATTAATTTTAATTCATTTTCTTCAAAGTCAATCTAATTAAATAATTTGTTCAGCATCACCTGCCTTACTCAGCAAAACATTGTGTAAAAAAAATAAGTCAAAAGCCAGAGTTCCAGACGTACTGTAGTTGATGTTACATAACTGGCACCTACTTCGAACGCATTTAGACTGTTTTCACTCTCCATGCTGCTGTATAAATGCAGTCCAACTGTTGCCTTGCATCAATTTCAACCTTAGCCAAATAATATGAAAGGTCCATTACTGAATCGCTATACAAGGCAAAAATGTTACGCTTTAATTCCTCCCAACATCTACATATCGTCGTGCCAATTCCAAAAGACAATAACTCAAAATTCTAAGATTTGAAATATTGCTGTTTTGAAATAACGCTCTGAAAATTTTAGTCATACATTTCAATTTGAAGTGTATGGCATAACTGTTCAAAATTAATTATAAAATTCAAGTCAAGGATTGATGGACCAACAAGATGGAGTGATGAACGAGTCGCAACGCATCAACAGGTCTAATGTCTGAAGGAGACGAAGAAAAGTATCCAAGTGATATAATCGACATTTTCAGAGTGTTTCAAATGGCAATGCCTCAACCCTTAGAATTCTGAGTGTTCCCTTCTGGATCCGAGCCACCAAGATCCTAAGAACAGAATTCAAATTGTATGCCTAACCCATAACTAGCAGCTAAATGCAATAGTGGAAATCCAGCACCATCACAAAAATGTGCATTATCGGCACACGTCTCCTCGAGCCCTCACTTTGCTACAAGTAAGAAGAGTGGGGGTTTGGTGATTTTGACAACAGGACTATTACATAAAATTTGTAGCTATGTAAAATAGTTTCTATTATACGGGAGAAAATTCCCTCCATATGCTGGGCTGTAATAGTGGCACAACTAAAAAATACGAATTTTGAGTTAATGCTCTCTCCAGAATTTCAGATTGGTCTACCTGCCATAATCAACCGCAGCGAATATTACAATACAGTATTCTACCAACAAATAACAGAATTGTGAATGCAAGAATGATGCATTTCAATAGAAGGTGAAAACTTTAAACTTATTTATCTCAACTCCTGATATTTTAGTTGTGCCACTATCGCAGCCCGCTAAGTATTTATGTTTATATTTTGACAACATTTCTCGTTGCTATCAATTATTATTAATTCAAGCCATGTTTGTAAAGGAGTGGTGATAGGTTATCTTGGGGCTCAAGAAAACGTGCGTGATTTTTTTTAATACGTGCCCTTCAGCAGGGCCGGATTTACCTACAAGATACTTAAGCTCTTGTGTACGCACTTGTGTACGAGCATCAGCTTAGACGCATTTCAGGGATTCTGGCACCTGGGGAAAAAAATCTTGAAATATTGGGAAAAAATTTCAAAAAAATGTGCATATGTAAAATAATTTTTAATCATGTTTGCATCTTTAAAATTAAAATACATTAACATTACACAAAGTACATTATACAAAACGTTATTTCATTTCAGCGTTGTTTTTTAATAAATCTGGATGTTTCTCGAGGGAGAAACACGCGTTTGACCTTGGGGCTGGTGCATCTCTCAAATCAGACCCTGCCTTTGTTTATGTACGCACTTTCACTGATTCACATTATCACAATCACTCAGGGGCGTATCTAGGAGTGTGATCATGGGACATTCCGCCCCACTACCAGACAATATATTTGGCTAACTTTACTAAACATCTTCAAAATAATGATGAAATATAATTCTCATCATATCCGAAGCAGTATCCAGTTGTGAATATACTTTTACTTTCTTTAATTGTCAGATAATTTAAAAAAGATTTGTAGGGAATGAACTCAACTTCCTCCCACTCTTTCCTCTGAAATGCTTTCTGGATGCACCCCTGCAATTATGTGATGCAGTTGCTGTCAATGGATGTCTTATCTCACCATGCTGGGAATATCCACGTGATAAAGTACCACGTGGGAGCAAATGACATAGTATTCAGCTTTAACCGATTTTTTACAATACTGATTTTGAATAGCTACTCTTTAGGAAGAAATATTTACATTTTTAGCAATATGTACCCTTGTGAAGATAATTAATCGGCTAAGTTTTTGACAGCAGCTTCTAAAATATTCAGCCGTTCATGCATAACGCGCATTAGAAGCATAATCTTAGAAAACAAATCATTATCATCTTCATCAGAGGACGTGGACGGTTCCTCTTTATGGTGCACTCCACAAATGTTCACATTACTCTTCCCATTCCCTATTTTCTCCTCTGCTGCATTTATCTTTTCATTCATCGCTTGCAACTTTTCTTCCACTTTTTGGCTTATTTCTCTCACTCTTTCTTGCACCTTCCTCTCGGTACGATCCTTCAATTCATCATTCAACGCCTCCAGAACCTGCTTCTCGCTGTCTGGAAGGCCCTCCAATGTTTTCTGCAAAAGCGCGTCTTGCATAGAGCGAACACTAGAAATAATTGTCGCTTCTATCTTCATAATATCTTCTTTCAGCCCATCCGAAATGCAATTGTCCAATGAACCTTCACTCGAGCTCTCCGAGTCTGTTGGAGAATTCTCTGTGGAACACCTCTCTTCTAATCCTGCGTTCAATTCTGCACTGTTATCCACGATCTTTCTTCTATCATCCATGGCGTTCTTTGAGGCCTACAATAAAACACCAAGACGGGTAAGAAATAACACTAATACTACAGGACAAGACGCATTATACCAGGCATTATACAGACAAATAAAAATAATTCAAATGATTTCTTGGATAAATGCAGAAGTGCATAATTTCAAACAATGTAAAATTAAACCGAAACAAACTTTATAAATAAAAAGGTTATTTTTGATGGCAAATTAGCAATCATCGGTGTCGCAAGCCGAATTCTTTAACTACGCACCGTGAAGTCACGGAGGTTAAGCTAGTTAAGAGACTTCGCGGTGGCTGGCGCTTCGGGTGACCGTCTATGAACCCCGGGATCAAACAGCACCGAGCCCCTGACCGAAGGCATAAAATGCAATGAATGACTACGACTGACTACATTAAAAAGGATTTCAAGGAGGCTTTCGCCAAGCCCTCAATGCCCCAGAAGGTCTTGGAGAAGCGTTGGAAAGGCAACATTCTTTTTCAAAATAATAAAATAAAATAAAATTTAAATTATTGGTGCTGCAGAAGGGTGCATACTTTTTCGTACTGGTTAGTTTTCTAATTTCTTTGCTCTGGTCTCGCTTTTCGATCATTCCCCCACCACTTACCAACTGCGAGGTGTACAACGATAGAAAAGATTGGTTTAGTGTCCCCCTCGAATTACATGTACATCCAATAGTAAATCCAATGAGAAGAAAGAGAAAAGAAATAACAGAAGAACCTCGATAATGTTAAAAAAATCGTGGGTGTGGAGTGTTTGGATTATCCGAAAAAAGGTACCAGAATGTTTGTGTACACACACATTATGCATATACATATACATACACACATACACACATATACATACACACACATATACATACACACATACACACACATATACACACACACACACATATACAACACAACACAATATTACACACACACACATATACACACACACACACATACACACACCACCCACACATACACACACACACACATATACACACACACACATATACACACACACACAATATACACACACACACATATACACACACACATATTACACACCACATATACCAACAACACACACATACACCACACACATTCACATATGCAGTGATAGCGATACGATTCACATGAGCTTACACCATAGTGACACACACCAACGACATATTTAACACACACACAACATACACACACACACATTACATACACCACACATACATACACACACCATTACATACACATACCACACATACACATACAGCACATACACAATACACACATACACATACACCACACACACATACACACATACACATACACACATACAACATACACACATACACATACACACATCACACACCACATACACACATACACACACACATACACACACATACACACACATACATACACAATACATACACAATACATACACATACATACATAATACATACACATACATACATAATACATACACATACATACATAATACATACACATACATACATACATACATATACATTTACCAGTCAATGCAACGTAGCGTGCGATGTGACAGTGTAGCGATCGCATCATCAAGCCGATTCAGTTCCTTTCAGCAAAAGAAGATTACCGATTCTGCAACTTCCTCTAAGTGAAAATTACTGCTACACAAACATGTGATATATATATACCGTATATATATACGGTATACACATATATATACATACACATATACATATATATACGGTATATATATATATATATATATATATATATATATATATATATATATACCGTATTTACCAGTGCAATAAACGTTTCATTTCGACAGCTTGTGTTTCAATAATTAGTTGTTCAGTTCTACAGAAATTATAAAATCCTTTCTTTAGGCCCCCCTTTCTTTTTTTCTTTTTCCTCAATTCCGAACTTTGTTCGGATTATTCGAAATTTTGGATTTGCGGGTTCGGATTAGCGATGTTCTCCTGTGTAAAGAAAATAAAAATATCGGACTGCTGGCTTCCCAAACGGCCGGAAATGAACCAAATTCTGACCTTTTTGGATAAGTAAAAGAAAAAGTTTCGCAGGTAAGAAACTGTGTTCGAAGTTCAAGGAAAAGAAAGGAAATAATATTCTTTTTTTGATGAGCATGTCTTCGAACTTATTCGTCTTTTTGCTCAAACCGGAATGCGTTTCAAACATCAGATTCGATCTTGTTCTTGCCGAAGCTTTAAGCAACTGACATCCGCTAAGAATCTACATGTCTTCTGGTAGATATCGGTTGGGAATGCAATAAAATCCCACCGGATTTACCCACATCGTGCACCGAGCACATCCTCATTGAGGGCATCAGCCTAAACGAATTAGTGGTTCTGCAACTACACTCACCCCGTTTTCGTAATACATGTACTCGCCGTAATTAACAGGGGTGAAATAATTTTTAATGATACTGACATGTTTTAATTAACCTACAAATATTTTAAATGTCTTTCATTAATCTCTAACAATGTAGCTATGTGTATTTTAAAGATAATTTCAGTGAAAAGTAGACTTGTTAAACAGCACATACTTTTTCGCATTATTGGAAACCGTTATGTAATATTGCAATATTGCAAATTCTGTCCTACTAACACATGAACAGCTATAATTTGAAAAAAAAAAAAAAAAAATCAAACGAAGCGTCTGTGGTAGGCATCTGCGTTTATTTCGATGGACATAACCAGTAGTATTTTCTTACCTCTACAAATGAAACAAACATGAATAAATTTAACTGTTACGATATTTGTAGCACATTAATTAGAAAAGTAAGAATAATTTTACACTAGCTTAATTACATCGAAATGAGCTTCCAATTTTCTTATATAATTAGCGATCAGAACATTTTAAAATAATAGATGTGAATTTGTTAATTAAAAGGAGAACAAAAACGATTGTCTATCTATTGAATATTTCTTTGTGCAGTGGTATCCTCTTACATTGAAGACAATCAGATCAATTCATATTTTAAAACAATTACTTTATTGGCATCTATGCAGAAACATCGCAATGTTTTGCGGACCAATGTAGTCACATTATCAGGTGTTCTGTAATGCAATCGGTTTTAAACAATTAAACGCCTTTCGCCCTAAAATTTAAAATTAGAATTATAACATAAACAAACCAAGAATTAAAAATAGAAGTACAATTAAAATTTAAACACAATATCAAAGAAAAAACTAAGATTTCAACAAATACTCAAATGATACAATTTTTTGAAGTGATTTAGTGTTAAATTTAGATTTATTAGTAAGTATTACATAATATTGTAATACTGTAATTTCTGTCTTAATACATCTCAGCCGCAGGGTTGGCAGAAATCCCCCCCCCCCCCAGTGGAGGACATTTCAATGAAAAAGACATTTTACATTTTTATACTCCACGATGTATAGACAATTTACTCAGCAGTTCCAAACCATTAAAAATCTTTAAAATGCATATTAGACTTTGCATCATTAAAAATGAAAGCTTCCGTTTGGATAATTTCATCCCCGCACTCACCTTCACTATCTTCCAAATAATAAGCATAAATTAGTTATATATCACAATAAGCCTAATGATCTATTATGCAGACCATTTATTTAAGTTAAAATGTACAAATTCAAGACGTGAAGTCCCTTTAACGAACTTTAAAATTATACCAGTTTTATTTTCAAGTAAACAGGACAAAAAGGAAGACATCCATGTACATTTAAAGGTAGGTGAGAGGACAATGTTAAAAAAGGAGGGCAAGTCCTCCAAAAAAGGACAGATGACAACCCTTCTCTACCGTCCCTTGTAAAACTCGTTGCCTATCGCAGACTTGCAATACGAAAACTAATTCTTTTAAAGCTAATACATCAACAGATATTTGACATTCCAAATCAGTTTCATACAGCGAGAAATACTATCACCCTACAATGAGAAGGACATTATGAAATTTATAAGCTGCAGACTGCGCGCGGCGATGGTGTAACGGTTAGCGTATCGAACTGGAATACCCAAGTTGGCGGGTTCAAAGCCTTCGAGCGCCTTCCTTCGGAGGGGAAGTAAAGCCGGCTGTTCCATGTTAGTACATTTACTTGCATGTAAAAGATCCTCAAGCCTAAATGACCTGAGCCTCTGAGCTAAATTCAAATCGCCTGTTCTCCCCAAGAAATTTCTCCTTTCTCTGCTAGTTGATGAAAGGAGCGTAGCAAAATTTGCGTGGTCAGACGGAAGAGCGGGCCTGATGGCTCGAGTCTCGCCACGTAAAATAAGGAATTAATTCAATTCAATTTAATTCAGACTCGCAACGATGCCTTTGTGTGGCCACCCGATATGTCGTGAAAGACTCGGCAAAAGTTCGGGAAATTCAAATAGACCACAATTGCCAACGAACATTTTTTACGAATACATTTAACATTACAATAACTTCGAGTCTGCTCAAATGGATCGCACAATATGTATTTTGAAAAAAATCCTGGGAAAAGGCGCTAGTGTTTTTCAGAGACGGGCGAACGGAGAGAAAAAAGTCCCTACAGGAGGAATTTTAAATAAATTTTTATAGGCAAAGGTTTTGATATTCGAAAGTCATAAATCATTAGGCTACTGTTAATATTGAGAAAATGTGAAAAAACGGTAAATATTTTATTAAAAAATACGTATATCTAACTACAAACACACATTCATTTGAAATGGAATTTTTCGCCATACTTTAATCTACATCAATTCCACCACTCACCTGAGTTGAAGAGTTAACGAACAAACCACCACCAGACCGCCAGCCAGTTGAGCCGAAAGTCGCTGACACCACGCGTATACTCTGTACAACTCTTGGTAGAAGAAGCGACTACACTGCCCTACTGGGAAGTCGTGAATGTAGCAGGAGTGAAAACCAGATGAGAAAACCTTGGAGAAATACTTGGGGAACCATGGGCTTATCTTTGCACTTCAGCCAATGAGCATCCAAATGCAGCGTGACGTATTTGGATTCATGCGTTGGGAGAGGGAATTTTGAAGTGGTCAATGTACTTAGTCATACCTT